AGATGAGGTCTCGCCAAGTTGCCCAGGTGGGTCTTGAACCCTTGGGCTCAGGCAATCCTCTCACCTCAGCCTCCCAAAGTGCTGGAATTACAGGCGTGAGCCACCGTGCCTGGCTGTTTTTTTTTTTTTTTTTCTTTAATCAACTTTACTGAGATATAACTTAGGTACTCATGGAAAATTCTGGAACAAGTTCACCCAGGAACTACTTCAACACATCAGTCAGAATGCGTAAACCAGATCTGTTTTTCCTTTGCCCCAAACCCTCGGTGACTTATCTTCCTGTAGGTGTTATGGGCTGAATCGTGCACCCTCCCAAATTCATATATTGATGTCCTAACCCCCAGTACGGCAGAACGTAACCTTGTTTGGAAAAAGGGTCCTTGGGATGTAACTAGTTAAGTTAGAATGAGTCATTCAGGAAGAGGGCAGGCCCCTGACCCAATAGGTCTGATGTTCATATGACTGGTGGTCCAGTATGGCTGGAGTGCAGTGGTGTGCTCATAGCTCATTGTAACTTTAAACTCCTGGGCTCAAGTGATCCTCCAATTTCAGCTTCCTGAGTAGCTGAGACCACAAGAACGTGGCCACCATGCCTGGCTAACTTTATTGTTTTTACTTTTTGTAAAGACGGGGTCTTACTCTGTTGTCCAGGCTGGTCTCAGACTCTTGGGTTCAAGCAATCCTCTCACCTGGGCCTCCCAAAGCTCTGAAATTACAGACATGAGCCACTGTACCCAGCCTGCTGTTTTTCTAAAAAGGAGAAATTTGGACATGGACACATACACCTTGCGAGAATGAAGGTGGAGATCAGTATGGTGCAGCAGAAGCCAAGAACACCAACGACACCAGCAGACCACCAGAAGCAGGGTAGAGGCCTGGGGCAGGTTAACTGGCAGCCCCTAACAGACAAGTACCGGGAGTAAAGCCAGAGTCCTTACCCTGACCCGTGGCCTGCCAGTCTGCCTGCTTCTGCCTCTGCCCCTTGTTTGTTAATATTTTTTGACTGCGCCTCCCACCAGAATGTAGCTCACAAGGAATGGGACTTGTCAGTCTGTTTTCTGCTGCACCCCCAGGGCCCAGAACAACCTAGCATGCAGTAGGTGCTCAGTGAACATCTACTGAATGACTGGAAGACAGGCCTGCGTTTGTGGAGGGTTACGTGGAGGGCCTGGAGGCAGCGTAGCCAGTACCGGCTGGGAGGGAGGTGGCAAGCGTGAAACCAGAGCCGTGGCCATGGGCTGGCAAGGAACAGATGGGTGTGAGACCCCATGGGGGGAGAAATAGGAGGACTGAGATTGAGAGACTACAGATGGGACGGAATGGAGGAAGGTGGCAAAGACGAGGCTAAGCTGGGATGACAGGAAGGTGCTGACTGCTGGCCATGCGGTCCTGCACAGGGACCAAGCGCCTTGGGGCCCTCGGAGTTGAATTGTTCCACTGGCTCGAGTCTGGAGCCTGTCTGCACATGCTCTGTGACACTGGAGAAGTTACTTATTAACACCCCACCTCGTGGGTCTTCCATGAGAGTGGTGTGATGACGGAAAACTGCCTGGCCTGGTCTGCAACCTGTCCAAGTGTTAGCTGGCTGGGGAAGAGGATGCCCCATGAGAGGTGTCCTGTGGACCTGTGAACGTGGGGGACGTGAGCCTGGATGTGGGGGAACACGAGGCCCAGCCATGGAGCAGAGGGAAGCGGGGAGAGGTGGTGGAGTCACAGGAGAGGTCTAAGAGGTCGGTGGGAGAAAGATGGCTGCTGGACAGGCCTGCCCTGTCTGGTGCTGCAGAGGGAGACTAGGCAGGGTCTAGGGTGTGTGTGCGTGTGTGTGTGTGTGTGTCCACCCCCAGAAAGAGTGATAACTAAAAGTGATAACTAAAGATCCCCCCAAAGGAGCTGACCCTCTGATTTCACCTTTGCTTGCAACTCCTGGGACAGGTTGCGGTGTTGAATTTGGCATCCCCAGACCTAGGTTCTGCAGCGACTCTGGGGCACTGAAAACCACCCTCCCCAAACTTGTAAGTTTCCCCAAGGTCCATGGAGTCCCTTGAGGTTGGAGGGCTGCTTTTCAGCCCCGAGGGGCCTTCCTCAGAAGCCGAGGCCACAATCTGCACTGCAGAAAGTCACCCAAAAGAGAAAAGAGGAACAGATCGATGTGGCGGAACCGGAAAAGCCTGTTCCCACCTTCCCCTTAAGACCCCGTGAGAACAGCCATCCTCCTGCAGGTTTCTGGGTTCAAGGAGCTGGTGCTGGGGGGTGAGGGTACAGATGGAGAAAGAGGAGAGGATGGGGGGGCGGAGTGGGAGGCCGTGGGGACGCCGGGGACTCACATGAGCTTGTTGCAGACCGGGGGCAGGAAGGAGGCCCGGTTCTCCCGCACCCATGACCTCACCCTCACGGGGCGCTCCATGCCTGCCCGGCTCGTCCTCTCCCTGCGGCGCTGTCCTCCTGCCGGGGTGCAAAGGGCGTCGCCACCCCACGACCACGACCCCGCGGGCCTGGCCCCTCGGGGACTTTGGTCGGAGCCCGCCCCCTGCGCGCCGCCCACGGCTGCCCGTGCCGATGCCCGGGCCGGTCAGCCTCCGCGCGCCTGGGGCAGCGGCTCCCCCGTCCCCGCCCACCTCCTGGGGGCGTCCCGCCTGGCGGAGGGCACAGGGTCCAGGCCCCTTCTGG